AGGGTCCTCCTTTTCTGCAGCAGATATGTTGCAAGACTCCCAGTGGATACCTGAAACCGCAGGTGGTACCAAACCCTATATTTACTGTGTTTTCAAACACAGACCTCTAATGGCAAAAAGGCTAGATCACATGTTTAGATGGCATTAATAATCTGACTTTATGATTCAGAGTTTCATCCTATACTTGCAAAAATCTCGTCTTTTAATGTATTGACTTTAGAAGTGGCTCTCCAACAGTGGGTGGGATGAATCTTAGAATGCGAATGTGCTGTCCTGTAGGCTCCTGAGTTGTGGTTCGGTACTTCGATTCTTGCCCCTTATTTCTCTGTCGCTGCTGGAAGTGGGGGAAGGTGACAGGAAGGTAATTATCAGTTCTTTCCATTCCTGTAACTTCTCTCAAAGGGCCAGTGTTCCCAGGTCAGAGACGAAGGATGTAAACCACAGGGAGGTCCAGCGGCTGGGATCAGCAGGGCAGGGGTGCAGGCTTGGTGTCTAGGCTCCAAGCCCAGTTCCCCAGGGACCTGTGCTCTCTTCTGGCGAGTATTTCACAGAGGTGCAGTCAGCATGGGTAGCTGAAATAAGATTTTGTGAAAAGCTTTATTCCCACTAAGTGTCCTCCTTTATTCTTTTACCTCTTTAATACATCCTCTTATTGTTGCCAACATTTAGAGTCTGCTTTATTGGGGCCCTTTGCATAAACATTTTCACTGGTTTTCCACTGATTCGAGGCAGTCCATTAGCTGGCTACATTTGTTGTTCAACATCATTTTTCTTTATTCCTCCATATAAAAGGTTGTATCCAAATCCTTTTATTTTGATAATAGACTGATTTCCTTGCTTCATATCTTAAAAAGGGTATTTCTACCTTGTTTTGAATCCTGTTGTTTTCTTAGAAGACTTCTTACTCCTTTGTCCTTGTTCTGCTCACTATGTCAGTTCCATCTTCGCCAACCACCCTTTGATTATGTGGTAGCAGAGGAGAGACGGGGGAAAAAACATAATTTCATTGCATTATTGGTATGCTGATACATTAAACTCCACAAGAGTCTAATTTGTCATTCTTAAAATGCAGAATTGGTTAAAATTGCTTTTGTCTCTAATTGGGAAGTTGAAGTGCTCAAGATTGCTAGGTATACTTTTTTTTAAAAAATGTGACATTAATATATTTTATAATTAGTGGAAAGAACATTAACATCAAAGTCTAGTGATCTTAGATTCTTTTATTGGATATGTTGCTTAAATTTACTTAACCTAAGCATTATTTTTCTTACTGTTAGTATAGTGATAGTAGTAGGAGTATGATTATTATGAGAATTATTTAAGAAAGTGTTCAGTGACGTGCCTAATAGATGCTCAGCAAATGCTAATGGTAAAGGTTACAAGTTTCTTTGACTTTTTTCTTTAGGTAGATTAAAAAATGTATCAGAATGTGAAAGGATACTGGAGTTGAGAAATAAACTGATGAAATAATTAGAATCTGCCCTTCTCTAGGTAATAAAGATAAGGAAATAAAATATATACATTTTATAAAAAGTAGAGAATGGCCATTTAGTTAGACTAAGGCAACAAAATTCACTAATTAAATATTTTTAGCCTTCATCTGAAACTTTCAACCAATATATAAGTCAAGGAAAAAATTTAAATACTTGGAATAAGGAAAGAAATGTGTCACTATTTGCTGGTACCCAGGAAAGCTGCGACGGTGACTGGAATAACTAACAGGACTGACAGTATGTATCTCCATTCTAGGCTTCTCTTTTCCAGTCTTGACATCTGGCTGCCTCTTGCATAGCACCATGTACATGCATAAGAGACCTTCCAAATGAAGATGTTTAAAATCGGACTAGGTCAAACCTTTTGCTCATATACTTCTGAATTAAACAAACAGCAGCATCATCTGCATGGTTGTTAAAGCAACCTCAGTGCCCCCTTTTACTTCTTTATTTTGAAGTTCATATATACTTACACACAAACATACATACATACATCTCATAGACATTTATTGAGCACCTGCTATATTCGAGGCCTTGTTCTTCGTGTTACAAATATAATAGTGAACAAAGTTTCTGTTTTTAAGGGACTTGTTTACTAATAATGCAAGAGAGACTACCAAATTTACGATGTGTGAGGAGTAAGTGCTTTGGAAGAGGAAAAAGGGGTAAGAATGCTGGTGATAGGGAATTCAGGGGTTGGGGGCATGGTGGGGGTTGCTATGTTAGGCACTATGGCTCTCCATGAAGGTTTAACAGGATTCCTCTCCTGCCCTGTAGTGAAGAGGCTGCAGTTTGTCAAGCCTGCTAGTGGGAGATGTATTAGCGAGCAGCTGTGGTCCAGGTGAAAAAGAATGGGAGCCACAAGCGGGGGACAAATAGTATTTGCCAGGGAGATGGTGAGGGGTGCTGATTTTAGTGGGTATTTTATAGTTAGAATTGGCTGGATTCACTGATGGGATTGAATATAGTTTTGAGGGAAAGGAGGATGACTTCAAGCTTTTTGCCCCGAAAAATTGCAACAAGAGCATTTCCTGAGATGAGGAAAACTGTTGGAAGGGGGGTGGGTGGGGGTGTGTGTGTGTGTGTGTGTGGTTTTAGACACGTCAGATGGAAGGTGCCCGTTAGATACCAAGGTAGAGATGTTGAGAGTCGGTAGTTGGATATTCAGGAGTGGAACTCAGGAGACAGATGTGGGCTGGATTCTACTTTTGGAACTCAACCCTTTTCTCCACGCAGTTGCTGCTGCTCTAGGTGAGGGTTCCATTGACTGCCATTTGGATCACTGTCTCTTCCTTCTGTCTTGCCCTCTACCATTAATTACTTTTGTCACTCAATTCACCTTCAACAGCCTGAGTTTTTCCTAAAATGCAATTATTTTGATATCTCTCACATACTTAAGTAACTCCTCAGAGCTTGGAGGATAAAATCCACACTTCTTAACATGGTATAAAAGGCCTTGCGTGATATGGTGCCCGCTCAGTGTCTGGTGTCATTTATCTCCATTCATTATTCTCTGCTCATTACTCTCATTTCTTTCTGTGCCCTTCATCTTCCTGCACTTTTTCAACCTTCAGACTCTATCCTTCCATTATTTTGACCGTCCTCCTTCCACGCCCTCAAACCTTCTTACCTGCCTATCTCCTTTACTCTTGTAAGCTCCTGATTAGGTATTATTTATTCCATGAAGACTGTCCCTGACAAATGTGAGTTAAGGGTCTATTCTTTATTCTCCTGTGGTTTTTACTAAAACATGATAGATGTATCTATGTATTATAATTGCCATTTACTTTGTATTCACATCTCTCGGTTCTTGCAATCTGTGAGGCCAGGTGCCTTTACTGTGTATAGTGTTATTTCTGTATTGCCTAGCACAGACCCTTTTAGATGGTGCTTAATGACTATTTCTTATTTGAATGGAAGAATAAATAAGTAAAGCCACTGATTATAAAACATGTATGCAAAATTCAGCGAAATTTCTATATCCCAGCAGTAACTAGTTACAAAGTATAGTGGATAAAAAGTAGAATTAACCAACGTCCACCCCAAATACCTAAAAGTATAATTTAGACATTCATAGTTTACCTAACACTAACAATGAATATGTAGGTTGCCTATGTTAAGTTGAATAATTATAGACACGTCATGTTCATGATTGGGAAGTTTATTAATTGTCAACATTTCAAATCTCCCTAATCTTTGTACAAATGCGTTGAAGTTAAAATACAGTTCAAATGGATTTCATTTTTGGAACTTTTGAATCACTCTAAAGTTCGCGTGCAGAAAGAAATGAGTAAGAAAAGTGAAGAAAATTTAGAAAGGGAAGAAAAATTTGAACAGCCAGTTAATAAGATATTAATTAACGGTACCTAAGACAGAGTAATAGTAGCTCAGGAGTAGTGCATAGAATGATGCAACAGAATTAGGACCTCAACCTGAACCCAAAAAACAAGTATGGGATAAAAGTGTAATGTAAAATTGGTTGAGAATGATTGGTTATTATCCACAAAATGATACAGAGATAATTAGTTAATAAATATTTTGAAAACTATGACATTTGATCCCTGTCTCACATTATGTACCAAAACATATAATTATAATATGCTTTTCTGATATTAAAAATCATGTAATTATAATGTGCCATCCTCCTATATGTATAGATGCTTTTTAAAGTTATTTTTTCCTCAACGTTAGTGACTTATTTGTACATATCTAATTAAAGACTTAGCTCCATTATTCTTTGCTACTAAGTTCTTAATGTTGTAAGATGACTGAGTTTGATTAGAAGCACTGTCCATGTCACAGCGAAAAAGATGGCAGGGTCCTTCATTAACTACAGCCGTTAACCTTGACTCAAGTACTGTGCTGTAATGACAGGTCGTATATTGTTTAGCATGACGTATTCTTTCATTTATTTATTTACTTATTTATTTATTGCCAAGGGTAGGGAGGTTAAATCCAGTTGTTGATTTTCAAGCACTCAGATAAAATAAGCTGAATAAAAATTTAACTATTTTTTCAAACATTTGGATAACCTTGTAAACAGTCTACTCTTCATTTTGTTTGAGCTGAATTTTTAAATAAGCATGGAATATCAAACAAAATAGCTCCATGCTTGTTTCTGTTCAGTACTCTTAGAGCTAACTTCTTCACCCACCCTAAGTGTAAGTTTATATCTATTTTATAATTGTATACTGTTCAAATGAGCTAACAGTAATTATTGCACTCAGTACTATTGGTTTCTGTAGTGCACATCAGATTTATTTTTGTTCCTTCTCTTAGACCTTCCAATATTTCCGTCTAGTAGTATTTCTTGCATCAGAGCCATCATTGCCTATCTGAAATAGTTTAGGTCTTGGGATATCAATATTTAATTATTTTTATAACTATGTGATTTAAAAGCTTTGTATCTTTTTCAGATTTTTTGATGATAGAATGTTCACATCCTGCCCTTTAGTGGTTGAGTGCTTTATTATTGCCCCTGATGTGGATTTATTCTTGGTTTCACAGAGAGAAGAGAAGAGGAAGATTGTGAAGAGAAGAAAGCTCTTAAAAAAAAAATTAAAGAACTTAAATTTCTAGATTCTAAAGTTGCCCAAAACCTTTGTAAGTATAATTTTTTAATACAATTAAGTCAGTAAAATACACTGGGGGTGGTTTCTTTAAATTATTTCATTTTTTATGATTTGTTTTTCATTTTGTTATTCTTTATAATTTGCATAAATAAATTCAAAGATAACTTTAGCCGCCCTGTGATTTAAATTCTTCTAAAGATTAGAGCATATTATAAAATAAAACTAAGAAAAGGATTTAGAATGAAAATATATCTCCTATAACTGGGGAAAAAACTACGCTTTAAATTCTCTTTTTTAAGTATCTAAATAAAGAATTAAAGAAGTGATGACTTATTTTGAAATAAATATGTGGTGGATTATTTCTTTTATACCTCTGAATCTCTATTATTTGTAATACTTGATCACACATAAAGGAGGTTGGAATATTAATGGAAATAAGGAATGATGAGTAAAATGAATTTCATTATTCCATCTGAACAGTTCAAAGCCTTTCTTCAAAAGTACTGACTGGAAGTATTTTAGATTTAATTACTGTTATAAGGAGCTAAATCCTGAGTATTGAATTGTCTTCCTGACTGAATTACTGTGGGAGAAGATAGTTTTGCTTCCAACTCATTTCTAACTGCTGCTTAAATGCATCAAAGATAGTTCTGCTTGGAAATAAGATACTATCTGTACATTTTACTTTCTGATGGTGCAAGTGGGATATAATGTGAAGAATCTAGAGGCATGAACAGTTAACGTGGCTTTTTCATCTGCTTTTCAATTATCACATGCCTCAGGCTTTTAGCAAGTATTGGAACACAAATTTTTTTGTTAAGAGTAAAAAGATCCATGCTATTGACTAAAGAGGGACTTAAGGCTGTGTGTGCAACAGGCAGAGAAGACACTCCTCTTGTGAAAGTTCAGGAACCTCCTTCGTTTCATAGTCACTGTGATGGAGGGCCATCCCTGTGTCATAAATTGAATAATTATAGACACGTCATGTTCATGATTGGAAGTTTGTTACTTGTCACCATATCAAATCTCCCTAATCTATGTACAAATGCCTTGAAATTAAAATACAGTTCAGATGGATTTCAGTATTGGAACTTTTGAATCACTCTAAAATTTGTGTGCAAAAAGAAATGAGTAAGAAAAGTGAAGAAAATGTAGAAAGGGAAGAAAAATTTGAACAGCCAGTTAATAAGATATTAATTAACAGTACCTAAGACAGAGTAATAGTTGCACAGGAGGAGTGCATAGAACGATGCAACAGAATTAGGACCTCAACCTGAACCCAGAAAACAAGTATAGGATAACAGTGTAGTGTAGGCTGCAGTGTAGGCTGCCGAGATCCCCGTAATAGTGTACAGACATTAGTACTGTTGGCCAATACACAGTTCTTTATTCTGGCCATGAGCTGATTGCACATCCCTGCCTCTTTCAAGTTAGGTGTCGACCATGTGACTTGCTTGAGCCAAGGATGGTGCAAGTGGAGATAAGGGAGTATCTGTGTGGAAGCATTTAATTGCCTTGGGAGATGCTCCAGTGCTCTGTCCACTCACCCAGAACGGCAGTCAGAATGGTGTCCATCATCCTGATGGGAGGATCCTAAGTAAGATAGCCTTGTCTTTCAGATGTGTGTGATGAGCACGTAGTCTGAATTATAAATCATTTTTTAATTTGTTCGTGTTTAGACCACCAAAGTTTTGGGGACTATTACATAATACAGGTATTTCAGGGAATTTCCCCCCTTAAAGAAACATTGTCTCAGTTTAAAGCATTGGAAATGTCCAAAAATTCTGTGTTCTGTGATCTGAAAGAGATGGTTATTTTCTTTAAAAATATCTGCGACCTGCATGACAAATTCCTTGTCTTTACTCTATAAATAGCCTCATTTTGGGTCCTGAATAAGTACCATTTTGCATGGAGTGCTTCTTAGATGGTTCAGCCATGATAAGTTAGCTTATATGTTCATCTTGAAGTTGAATATGTGACTTGTTGAACAGGGTTCTTTAGTATTATTTATATACTATAGAATAGGTGCTAAACGGGATTTTAAATTTAATTATACTAGTAATTACAGATTGCCTGTATGTGCTAGTTCTGTATTTCACTCTTTAATCTTTACTACAGCCTATGGCACAGGTAGTAGTGTTGCCATTGGAGGTGGGGGGTCTGGTGGGTGCAAAAATTCAGCGACTTGAATAAGATAGCTTATCTTGAAAATGCCCAATAGGTATATATTATATCTATTCCTATGCCTATTTAGGGATAACAAAATTACACTGTCATTGAACAGGATACTGTTTTGTTTGCTTTTGCTAGAGGATATATATCTATTTGTTTAATTGTTAATCATGTTGTAAAGTATAAAATTGAAAGGTTCAGGATTTTTACTGCCGTCTTATGATGTAATCCATTTTATATTATTCTGCCCTCTCTGATTACACCAAGTGTTATGATCTAAGCTTTAAGAAGCTTTAGAGGCCTTAAAATCTTTACTGTAATTACAGTTTGATTCACAGCTGGGTTTTGTCTATGAAAAACTCAGTCTTTTGAGATACTGAATTCTGAGAAGAGAGTCTTATGATAGCGACAAGACTATCTGGTAACTTAGAAATATAAGATAATTTTTCTTAGATTTCTCTTACCTGAAATATTCTACAGAAATTTGTTGAAAGGATCTAAAAATCACTCTTTTATTTACTTGTTTATTTAAAAGTGGGTGAGGTTCCCTGTACTCTGAGTTCATAAATGTTTTGACGAGACTCTGGGCCCAGAATAAAAGATAGGATTCCAGCCACTCTAGGATCAAGAGATAGCTTGGGAGATTTGCAAGGTTCGTAGGTCTTAGCAGACTTCTCAGAGGGAGTGTTAGATTTCTAGGAAGGAACCTGGAAATATACAAATTAATATAAAGGTGTAAATACTTATAAGTTCCCCTGCCAGAAACATGTATGACTGGTTCCAAAATCTGTACACTTTATACTCCTTCAGTGAACTCCGAGCTTCCCACTGGAACCTGTATAAATCACAGTTTGAACGATAAGATGCATGTTAGTAAAAATATTAATTTTAATGGATCTTTAGAAAGGTTTATTTGATTCTGATATTATCCTCAGTAACTTTTTTAAAATATTAAAAAATTAAGGTCTGTTCTGTCTTTTGAATTTATGCATTAGGCCATTTTCAATTTCTTTTTTTGCCCTTAGTTATAGCAAATATTTTCCACAAAAGAATTTATTCATAAACTATTAAAACAAAACCATAGCTCAGTCTTTCTAAATATGTGTTCAATGTGTATACTGTTTTAATTATGGAATAATGCCTGAAAGTAGCGGATGAATTATAAATATAGAAGAAAGTAAAGGAATAAAGTATGTCTATCTGTAGTATAAATTTCGAACTTCATAATTTATTCATTCAGTGCTTGGCTGAATTTGAGTTTCCCTTTTTTGGTGTTACTAAGGCAGGGTGGGGCATCCTATGGTCCTTAGGCTAAATCTTGTCCAATGCCTATTTTTTAAAACAAATTTTTATTGTACTTTAGCCAACACATTTATTTACCCATTGTTTATGGCAGCTTTTGTGCTACAGTAGCAGAGTTGAGTAGCTGTGACGGAGACTATATAGCTCACAAGTCCTACTCACTGTGTGGCTCTTTACAGAAAATGTGTGGCGGCCCCTGCTCTAAACATATGCCTGTTCTATTGTGACGCCACTTTACTCTTCCACCATCAGTGCTGGAGTGTTGTTTCTGCTCTACAGCCTCCCCAGTGCTTCATGGTTTTATAAGACTCTGTCCTGTGTGGCTTTAAAAAAAATTATTATGTTTGAGATTTGTTGAACCTCCTTGATCTGATGTTTTGTGTCTCTTTAAATCTGGAAAATTCTCTGATATTTTCTCTTCCTGTATGCCTATTTCCTGTTCTTGTCGTTTGCTTTTGGAACTCTCAGTAGATAGTTTTTAGTTATCTTTACTAATCATCTATATCTTGTAACCTTGTATTTTTCCATCTCTTTATGTTACACTTTGGATAGCTTTCTTTGCTGTCTTTCATGTCATGAATTTTCTCTTCATCTTATGTCTAATTCATATGTTCAGTTTGTAATTTCAGTAGTTTCACTTTTACATATGATTTCTAAAAGTTAGACTTTTTTCCCTTAAATCTTTTTTTTTAAATAATGTATTATTTTTCTGCTCAATGTTTCAAACTTTTCTTTCATTTCTTTAAAACTTATTTTACCCCAGGATTTATGCTTTTCTTACTTTCAGGACAGCTCAGAAATGCATGTAGTATTAAGATTAAAAAATACATTTTGAGACCTTTCTTAAGTATCTCTTTACTCTGCCTTACTGCCTACAATATAAAACTCATTTCTTTCCCTTTTAATTTTACCATATTATGCCTCAGAGAAACTCTGCCCTTTTGATTATTTTTCTTTAATGACAAAACCTTCTCTCTATGTTGTTGTTGTTTCCTTTGAGTCAATTTCCTGCATGGAATCTTTTGTTTCTCAAGTGGAATCAATAATTTTTAAGGATTCTACCATAATTTGTGTTATTAATTTGCTTACTCCTGAGGTTTAGCACGTTACATTTATTTTGGTCATTTTTTTCTTATTCTTTTAATTGAACTTATACACATTTTTCTATTTGGACCTCCCAGTATCCTAAATGAAGGTAAACAAGTGCTCTGTGAATTTTCAAGCAGATTTATCCTTTCAGCTTCCTTGCTTTTTAATTGTTTTAAGTATGAGTGTTTTTCTGTCTAGGTGTCAGATATCAATCTTTGCATATGTTTTCCATTGGTTTTTATGATTAAGAAGTTCTTTAACCATGAAAGAGCTAATCTGCTATGCTAAATTTCTTTTAGTATTCCTTTCTGTTGCTAATATTTACATTTAATTCCACAATCATTTGCAACTTGTTTTGTACATGATGTACGTGATTGTCCCATCAGTTACTCATTGATTACTCTTCAAGAGTATATATTAGTTATCATATTTTTGTGCTTTCTAATTCTAATATCTACTATGGGGTTATCCTTTTATAATTCCATCTCAGTATCATTTAAACCTTTTATTCCATCTTGTTCTTGGGATTTCAAGGATTACAAATCTCCGTATTTTATAGAAAATTTATAGCACTCTTTTCCCAGACTTACGATTATTTGAATTCTGCCGTGTGGGGATGAAGCTGGTGGTAAGAACATAGATGGTAACTTTGTTATTCAGCTGTAGATGATACGTGGTATCCTCAGGAATCTAGAGTACAGCCTTACTCTAAAAAAGGAGTAGATCATATTTCTGAGCCTTATGAAAAATAGTTCAGTATATAAAATAAACTAGTGGGCTCATGGTTAGCAAGTTCTAGGTATGTTCAAGAAGTGGTATGTGTCATGAGAGAGAGGAAACGCAGTAATAGTAGAATAAGGGAGAACAGCCAAAACATTAAATCTAATGCTGTGAAAATATCCTTATATACTGTAATAGCTTTTGAGAAGATCATTGTGTTTTAACAGTAGATATATGAAGTATCAAAAATAAAGTAAATAATGTTGGAATTCTCAGTAATAACATATTATCCCATATAATTTCATTTGGATAGTTTTCCATGAAAATTTGTTTTCTAATATTGGATTTTTAAGGTTGAGTTATATGCAAAAGCCAGTTCTCTGGCATAATGTCTGTAATATTTCTGAACAGTAAAGTATTATTATAAATTGTAAAACTGCTCTAAGAAGTTTTCTTAAAATTTTTTTTTCTGAACTATTTTGTAGGGCTAGAAGATATTATACAAGTTGACAACACACCTGTTAAAACAAATATTATATGTGCATATTGGGGTTTTGTGGTACTTTACAATGTGATATTTTTATAGTGAATCAAACATACTTTATTTTGAGTCACTTGAAAAATACCACCATTCCAATGATAAGCTAATGAGTATTCATTAATAATCAACCTCAGATTCAGCATAATGATACTGAATCCATTTCTAAATCTGGAGAAGTACAAAATGTGCTAATTAAAGTTTCCCCCATAGTAATTTTATTAAATGTTTTAAAATATTTTATGAATTATTTTTGATTTCACATACAGAACTGAATCTCAACATCTTTTCTAACCTTATTCTTTGTGAACTCTCCCCTCCCCCGCTTCAGCAATCTTCCTGAGCTCTTTTCGGGTGCCATATGAGGAAATCAGAATGATGATATTGGAAGTGGATGAAACACAGTTGGTGGAGTCTATGATTCAGGTAAACGAACAGGCAGAGGGCTTAAATTCCAACATTTCATTGCAAGCTTCTCATTAAGTAGAAATCTGTAAGTGAAGCAAAATTCTTAAACCAAATCATTCAACTGGAAAATCATTGCTGCATAATTAGTTTTAGCCTAACTTCTGCATTGCCAGGAGATAAAACTCTGAATGTTCACCTAACTGCAAACTACATATAATACTATCAAAATGATTACATTTCAATTATTTTAAATGACTGTTGTCTGAAAGTCAGGTTGTTTAATTTTACATTTTTGTTTTTGTTACAGTTAAGACGAGTAACATGTTAATTTAAATTTATTTGAATAATGTTTTCAGAGTGTGTTTTTCTTCGGCTTATATGTCTTACGAGGTTTTATTATTATTTAATATAAAAGACTGAGGGAGATGTCTCTTCCTTTAGAGTAACCTTACTAACAATCCCTACTGCAGTCATTTGTGCTATGAATAATGCAGACAGTTTGTGTAGCATCCTGAATTCATGTAGAAGGCTGGAAGATTTTTTAAATGGATTCAACTCATGGTATTTTTTAAGAAATACTAGTGTGGTGCCAAAGTTACTTGCCGAATTCCACCTAAAGCATATCTAGATAGAATTTAAAGTTGGAGAATCAAAGCACAAATTATATACCAAGAGGATGATACCAACAGTTTACTATCTTTTATTTTTATAATAGAAGGAAAATGATGTTTTAGCAATAAAAAGAAAATAAGGATTATTTGTGAATTTAAACAAGTAATTAAAATTGTTCTAGGCATTTTAATTCATCAGTAAGTTGTAACATTAGGATTTGTTCTTTGCTTTGCCTTTCCTATCTTGTCTTCTAAACGTGGTGGGAATATAATCCTATTAGTGATTTGTGCTGTAAATCTCCATAATCTACATAATTCAACAACTTTTATTTAAATACTTTTTGTTTAGCAGTTTCTTTTTACTAGGATTTTGTCTATGTTAATTGTTGATTGTGTATGTCTTGCTCTTACTTGATTTCAAGTTCCTTAAAGAAAATTTTTCTACTTAATACATGTTCATATATTTTTTTAAAGATTTAATTTATTTTTAGAGAGAGGAAGAGAGAGAGGAGGAGAGGGAAATATCAATGTGTGGTTGCATTTTGCGCACCCCCTGCTGGGGACCTGGCCTGCAACCCAGGCCTGTGCCCTACAATGGGAATTGAACTAGCGACCCTTTAGTTTGCAGGCTGGCACATGTTTTTTTATAATGCATTTTTAAAATATTTATGGAGTAACTTTTAACTTGCTTACACAAATGGTTTAAATGATCATGAGGCTTTTGTTGTATAGAGATGGAAAAACAAATATTTGTATTTGAAATCCATGTCCAAAGAACATTAAAATCCATATAGCTTATTAATATATTATTTTTCTATTACTGCTGTAACAATTTACCACAAACTTAGTGGCTTAATATTCCACCAGTGAATGTTATCTTAGGTTTCCATAGGACAGAAGTCTGGCCTGGACCTTACTCTCCTAAAGTCAAGGCATTGGCAGACTTGCTTTGCTTTCCATAGACTTTAGGGAAGACTTTGCTTTACACGCTCGCACGATCTGGCAGAAGTAACGCCTGCTTGAGTGTGGTTGGTAGGGTAAAAATATAGGTGTAATAATGTATAGTTTTAATTTGAACATTTCACCTAAAGTGTCATATAGTGTGCTTGAGTGTGATATTGTAATGTTACAGAATTACATGCTTATGATTTTGTAATAAAGATTTTGTAATAAGGAGCATTATTTGTGTAGGATCCTGCTATGTATATTTATATTTATATTTAGTCTTTTCCAGTTTCCGTGGCTGCTTCCTTCCTTGGCTCCTGGGCACAGTTCTTTATCTTCCAAGCCAGCAATGCTGCATCTCCCTGTTCCTTTTTTTCATAGTTTTATCTCCATCTCACTTGATTGTTCTATCTCCCTCTTCCACTTTTAAAGATCTTTATGATTACATTCGGCACATCCAGATTATCCAGGATAACCTTCCTGTTCATAGGTCAGCTGAAAGAATTCCCTGTATCACATAACCTAGTATTTTCACAGGTTCTGGGGAGTAGATGTGGGCATCTTGGGGGAGGTTGGTTTATTATTCTGCCTAACATACTCACTAAATATAAAACTGGTCTTAAGAATTTAAAATTTAAAACTTTAGTTTGGACATAGGCAAAGTCTTAATAGTGTGATGATGTAGGCTGTAGTCATTAAAAACCAAGAGTTTCATGGTATTTGAAGTTTCATTTTTTTATTTTAAAAATATATTCCTTATGGTGACATATTTTTAAGTGAAGAAACTGCCTGTGTTGAGTAGGGCAGGGAAAGAGCATTGCTTTTTAATAATTATCATTTTGGTAGCTTTTATTCACTGTCATGGTTTCATTTTAGCATATTCATTGATCTATTTATTTATTCATATAAAGCAAGATGGCAGCATTGATGTCATTTTCCCACCTCATTCTTTATCCATTTAGTTTTGTTCCATCAGTCTTTTATTTCTTTCTTTAGCTCTGTGTGTGTGTGTGTATGTGTGTGTGTGTGTGTGTGTGTGTGTGTGTGTGCATGTGTGTGTGTGTGTGTATGTGCGCACATGCCCATCATGTTCAGGGAGCTGTATTTGGCTCAAACACAGACTTTCCCTCTTTAGAATTGATAGAGTGGCAAAGAAGATGATATACACATGTGCGCACACATATACATATAATTAAAATACAAGACAAATAGCTGATTACGATAGTTACAGAACCACATAGTGCGTTAGGGTAGTGCTAGGTATGTGTATGCGTGGAGGTAAGGGCACTCATAGGTTGGGTACAGTGTGGACATGGAAAAGGGCAGACAGGTTGTGTTAGCAGTGTGGTGAGGCGAAGTCATTCTGGCGGTAATGAAACCCTGGGCTATGAGGGAGGGAAAAGCCAGGTATGTGAGGGCAACTGTGAAGAGTTGTTTCTTTTGGTAGGATCTTAGGATTTGTGAAGTATATGGGGAATATAGTGAAGGGAGAGACAAAGGAAATTTGGGCGTGTGCTTTTACAGTTCACAATAGTTTTATTACTTTGGGAAGAAAAAATAATGAAGTGAAAAATTAAATTTCTGCTGAGATTAAAATTTAATTATATATTAACTGAATATATTCAAGGGGATTGGATGGTCATATAAAGAGTGCTGAAAAAATTTAGGAGCCTGGTGTAATAAATAATTCAAATAATCCAACTGTCAGCTGGAGTGATTATAAGAAAATATAAATAACTAGGTTTTTTGGTCTCAGGCAGTTCTCCTAAGAGAAATTTCTATTTGTTTGGGAAAATCATATACCCATATGTTTTTATTTAGTTGGTAGAATTAATAGTGAGTGAATATTTTTTTAAGGATGACCTTAAATTTTTTGTTTTTGACCAATCAGCCAAGATTTTGTTCAAAGATACACAGTGAGTCAAAAACTTGTTCTTTGATCTAAATACTTTGATATATAACATTCTTTAACATTATTTTTTAACTAATAACACCTTTGAGAGATTTTTCCCCAGTTAATATTTATAGCATGATGTAGGCTTAATTTAAATTTGTACTTGAATTTTAGCTTGCACAAAATATACCGATACTGTAATTTGTAATTGTGAGCACCAGCCACTCTGTTTTCCTTAATTTTATTATCAATACACTAACTGGTTATAACTATTACAGTTAATTATATTTTGACATAGAGGATCTATGTAGCCTATGTCCAAGGGATTGTGTAATCATTTAAGTTCTAAAGGAAAGCATAATTATATGCATTTCCTTGGCCTTTCTCCATTGAAGTGTTTCTTGTGTGTGTGTTTGTGTGGCTTGGGAAAGGCTGTGCATGGACAGAGGAGTCAGAATGACCAGTTGAACCTGTGGTTTGTGCCCTGCCAATGACTCAGGCAAAGGGCCGTACAACCATAGGCACTTCGCTCCTAAAGGATCTCTATCTGCATATGCTTTTATCTGCAAGGTATATCATTCTGTGTCTCAAATGCCGTTCAAATTTTTTTTCACATTAGAAAAATTACTTTGTCTTTACTATAGAGATACCTTTATTGTTATTATTAAAACCATACTCACTTGGTTAAATCTCGCCAGAACTGTCATTATAATACTCTTGATTTCTTTTCTGTTTTTCCCCTTGCCTTTTACTAGCAATATGATAATTTCTTTTATCACCGTGAGTGAAGTGTTAAAATATGTTTGGCTTTGCCTGAAATTTCTGACATTTAATTCCCTAAAGCCGAAATGTAATTGATCACATTTATCCAGGTGAGAAGGCTGTTTCTTTGGTATAGGTTGAGTTCCTCTTTCTCAGTTATACAGCTAATCAAATAAACATTCAGTAGTGCTTGATTTGAATATATAATAAGTCTGGATAGAGAAGAAGAAAATTGCTTTCAAAATGAGGAGAATGCAGCTTACGGCTTAGTATAAGGGGATGTTACCCAGAAATAAAACTAAAGATCAACTTCTTTTACTGATTTCCTTCCCAGTTTATTAATGTTTTCCTAGAACTCTTAATGAACACATTTCTTTTGGTTTTAATTTTTAGAACTTAATAAAGCATCTTCCTGATCAAGAACAATTAAATTCATTATCTCAGTTCAAGAGTGACTATAACAACTTAAGTGAACCCGAGCAGTTTGCTGTTGTGGTAAGTACTGTCTCTCAGTGTTAACTCTCTTGAGGGAATTTAAATACTGTAGAAAACAGGAAAGAAAATGTCAAGCTCTTCGTATCATTATTACTCACACGTATTTAATGTTCATCTCTCTCTTTTTAACATAAGGATATTTATGGGAAGTTATCTTGATTTAAAACATATAGTGAAACTCTAGCCTTAAGTGAAGTCCAAGGAGTCTTTAAAAATATAAACGTGGTTTTTATAGTCTCTATTTAATGTCAAAATGTAAAATCAAAATTATTTATTCATTCTAGAGCTATGCATTACAACATATTGCAAGAGTAGCTTTAGTTTTTTGTTCTAACCATTTACTTCAGTTCATCTCATATTTTAGATCTGAAATTAGAAATATAGTTATCACTTTTTTTGGCAATGAGATTCAAAAATGAATATATTTTAAAAATCTTCAAAAACCTTGATAATCATCTTGTTCCAGCTTCCTATTTATATAAGATGGGGCCTGAAGAGGTGCGAAGACTTGCCATTGTTATGTATGAACTGCGTTGCATTTAAATTTAAGATTTTTATCAAGCTTTCTTTCCCCTCCTCTTTCCTCCTCCCATTTTGAGGTTGCTTACAGTCACTTATGATGATACTTTAAAGTAGTATTTCCTTTAATATGTATACTCTTATACATATATATACATACACGTTATATGTGTACATATATGATTATTTTTTATATTATCATCTCTTCAGTTATATTATTACCAATCTCTAGGGATATGATGAAATTGCATTTGATAAGATTTTGAAAATTTGGGTTGACCAGCTGAAGGACTATGTCTCCATACCATATATTGCATGTTGTTGGCATTTGCTATAAAATTCCTTCCCGTCTTGCCCTGGCTGGTGTGGCTCAGTGGATTAGACACCAGCCTGCAAACTGAATGGCCACTGGTTTGATTCCCAGTCAGGGCACATGTCTGGGTTGTGGGCCAGGTCCCTGTATAAGGGTTCATGAGAGGCAGCTCTAGCACATCCATGTTTTTCTCCCTCTCTTTCTCCCTCCCTTTCCCTCTCTCTAAAAAATAAATAAGATCTTAAACAAACAAACCAACTACTTCCTGCCTCTTCACAATACCGTTCTACTCAGTCCTCCCTGCAGTGCCTCCTCCTTCCTCCTGTTCCTCAACTTCACAAAACTCTGAATACAACACAGAATGAACAAAAAACGAAACAAAACAAAACATGGTTTTTCCTATTCACAGTCTTCTAATTCTTACTGTAAAACTTTTTAACTTACTATATTTACAAAAATGCTTTTCATTTTTTTAAATTAATTTAATCAATTTTTCAGGGTACGCTTTTCTTCACCTGTTTCTGTATTTTCTTGTTTGCTCTATTTTCCATTACCTGATCATCGTCTTTCACTTAATCTGTATATAATGTTCTACTTGCAGTGTCCTCCATATGAGGATAAATAAATAAGGGAGAATTTACATTAAATTTATAAGCACAGACTACTTAGAGTTTTGATCGTTGGCCATTTTTTTTGACTCCGAATGAAAGTGATAAAATGTAAAATTATAATTTTGTAACATTTTTCATGTACCTTAAGTCTGAAACACAAGTTTATATGGGATGTCTACTTAACAAATAACTTTTCCTGTTGAATATCATCACCAAAAAGATTGAAAACTAGTCCCATGTTCTCATGATTGTCAAAGAAGAATGAACTCAAACTAGCAAATATTTTTAGTTTTGTTTAAAATGTCCAGGTTATGCTCTCCTTTAAACAGTAGTGTTCATATCAAAGAGCTGTGATTTATAAGCAGTGTACTCATCGGGGTCAGAACATTAAAATAATTATATTCCCAGGTACTGGCACTAGAGGTTATAATTTTGATTTTAAGATAAATGGACCACTTCCTTTTCATGACATGTCAACTCAAACATGACCTTGAATCTACACATCCCATCACAGGTCATACCTGACTACAAATGGAGTTTAATGTAAAAAGAGTAATGCTGTTGAAAAACATCTGCTATGGACAATATGAACAGTGCCTTTTCTCTTGATTTTGGATGTTCTTGAACACATTGTTTTAAGTTCTGGTTTGTATAGTTCTAGCATTTTAAAATATGATTGTTTTGGTACAGAAAAGAAAAAGAAAGTTGAACAAGTGAAAACTTTGTATTTTTGTCACATTGTTCTTTGCCTTTGTCTATTTCAACTTTTTACCATTCTCAGTCTAGCTTCCCCTACTTCTCAACTCCCCCTCCCCCAAAACAAAGGAGGAATCCTTCTTAAAGTTACAAACAATACTTGAGAATTACCAAAAAGCCCCCAGAAATTGTGGAACTGTGTGGAATGCCTCAAGTTTCCTGCTCTTCTTTCTTGATTAAAAGTTTAATATTAAGTTCACTAATTAGAGTGATATGTTTTCAATTTATCAACATTGTGTAAATAATATAATAATTTGGTAGGTTTAGGAGATTGATTATAATTATCACATATATTTTTGAAAGATCCCCATAATACTAAGTTTCACATTTCAGGTAACAAACTTAATGAAATCATGTTTCTGTTTTTGACGATGAGCTATTAACATTGAGGTAAGATAAACTGCAGATTCCTATATAGTTTTATTTTGTAGAAAAACATTTATTTATTGACTCAACCTAGATTTTTTTTCTAATTCATATTTAGAGAGGGGAAGAGAGGGAGAGGAACATCAGTGTCTGGTTAACTCTCACACACCCCCTACTGAGGACCTGGCCCACAACCCAGGCATGTGCCCTAGACTGGGAGTCAAACCCACGCCCCTTTGGTTCGCAGGCTGGCGCTCAGTCCACTGAGCCACACCAGCCAGGGCTGACTCCACCTAGATTTAACGTACTAATCATTTCAACCTAAAAAATAATCATGGAGTCATAAACAAGGAATTGTCAAGAGTGGAGATAGCCTTTTAACCCCTACATAGGGCTGAGGTTTGCCTTTTCATTTGTTTTCACCATAGGTTTGTGATTAGCTCTGTTTCATTTTGAGGTTCTAAAGACTGATATTGTGATTTCTAGCAATTTTTTATTTTAACAAAATTTAGTTAAAATTATACTGTTATATTACTTGCTAGTGAGTTTACTATATTTGATTCTTGTGAATTACAGATTTCTCAAGTGTGTTGTGTATAAACATATACCCAAATTTGACACAAAAATGTATAGAGTCACAACAGTTGTTTGTATTGTAAAATTAGCTTTAACTCCACACAAGAATTTCATAAAACAATTAACAAACAAAAAGTAGCTTTACCTGGACTATGGCATTTGTTTTCATTGTTTTGTTTTTGACAGAAAGGCAGTGTGCCAAAGAAACACATTCAGATGCTAATAACCAGAGTCAATTAAAGACCTCTTAGAATACATAAGATATAGCATGTAAATTAGAAGTATGTTTCATTTTTGTCTTATATTACTTCACATGCAGTTTTTCCAGGGCTCTATGTCCTAGACTGTTGTACTCATATGCATATATATTATTCAGAAATATTATGTCAGTGTCCATTAAATTGTATGTCCTTGAAGCTTTCTTTCAACCACTAAACCATTTGATATGTCTATATTCTCTCTAGGTTTCCTGTAATAATAAGAGTTTCATATTCACTTTTACTTATTTCTTCCTTGAAATTTGAAGCAAATTTTTAAATGCTAATACTATCTTCATTCCTCAAGGAACAGTCTTAATGCATGAGTACTAGACATGGATTTTTTTTGGAACTAAGAGTTTAGTTGCTCATCTGTTTTTTCTAGTAATTCTGAATTTTAAGGTACCTCCTTCAACCTTCTTGCCATGCTCTTGACTTGGACATTGACCAGTCTGATTAGAACACTACTCTGGCATTCTAGAGATGGCTCTGTTTATTCATTGTAGTGAGGTGCTAGTGACATGGTGGCGTTTGGTGGGTGATATCTTTTTGAATTAATATCCAGTGCTTTGAATTCAGGGCCTAAAACTTTAATGAAATTATTAACTTGTTTTAGTAGCTGGTTACAGTATATTTGTATGTCCTGTATTTTCTGGGAGATTTTGGTATATGAAAAATAATGCGTCAAGAATTCTGTACTGAGGGTTCTGGTCAAATAATATTTTAGAGGAATGTTCTGGGAGGTGGTCAGTGTCTGTATCTTTTTGTGTGACTTCACATGAATAAGACAGTTTCCATGCTGATTCTGTTAGTTCTGAGCAAAGGATACTACGTACTGACTGATTTGCTTAATTTGAAATATTCTTTTTCTTGGGCTGTCCAGGACAAAATATTTTATTGAGAAATTGGTTTATATTTGGCATGGTCTTGCCTCATGCTTCATTCGAGTTCATTTTCTATTAATAAGATAAAAAATGGGAATATGTTTCTTAGAAACTCATTTGATCAGTTAGTTGCCTGTGCTTTTCTCAGATTCCTTCCTTCCCCATTCAGCCCCATTACCTCCTCATTCATCCCTCCAAGCATTGCCTACTTACCAGATGGGTTCCCACTGAGTAGGGCCTGGTATTAGTTGTATGACTGCATTTTAAAAATTATTTGCCATATTTCTTTGATCAGTATACCACCAAGTAAAATCACTATGCTCACAGTTACATGGTTTAACTCTGTGAGAAATAAGATATGTAAATATTCAATGGGATCAGAAGATAAGCTGAAATTTGGAAAAAGGCCTAAAAATTTACATTTGAAGCTCAGTGCTCTATACTTTGATTAAAAATTCTAAGGTTTTAAGTATTTGTCTCTATATTATTTAATTCTGTTAAGCTACCTGTTCTTCAAAGGAATCAAAGCCTATATAGGCAGGTTAAACCTAACAAATGTCCTGTTTGTGTGCTGCATTTTGATCTGCCACCATTTGGTGTCACTGTAGGGCAGGGCTTTTCAACTTTGTATAGTAGAGGCTTTATTTTTTTTTTAATGAAAAAAATGTTGTAGTAAGTTAATGCTTATTTCCCTGCATTAAAAATGCCTTGTTTTAAA